GGTCAAGCTGGGTCCACAGGCGCGGAGGGCGGGGGTGCTCGCTTCCGATTGGCCCTGGAAATACTCGCCCCGCCCACCCTCCCCGCCTCCTTCCCAGCGCGGAAGGGGCGCGTGCGCGAATGCTCCAAGGTAGTGCGTACGCCTCGCGCTGAATTTCTTGGACCAGAGCTCGGTACTGAGAGCATCGTTCCTCGTTTGGGACGGTTGTGAGCCTTGAATGGCCTGAGAAGCCAAGAATCGCATGGCCCTTAGCTACCTGGAAAGGGATCTGGGTGAAGAAACCTGTCCCGGGTGGGACAGGCTTTTCCCAGCCTAGAGCTACCAGCCTCAGAACATCGAGTCAGGCGGAGGGACCCAGCGCCGCCGCGGTACGTTGTCCAGGCTCGGAATCCTGGGCAGCAGGTGGAGGAGATGTGAAGCGAGGTTAGCGTGGATGATGGAGTCATGCTAATCAGAATGACGCTGAAGGAAATGGCCCTGCTCCTTCCTTCCCAGCACCTCCTTTTGACTCCCTATCCCCTCTGCGCTGGCTCCGGAGCTCAGCTTGTAAACAAGATCATGTGACTCCCAATAAAATCAGTGGATACCCACTCCTAGATACACGTTCAAGAGGAGGTCTACACAAAAACTTGTACACGATGTTCACAGCAGCACATTAACAAGAGAGAGGGAAACGACTCATCTGTCCATTGATTCATGAGTGACAAGCAGATTACAATTCATGCACTGGAATCGTGTTTGGCAATAAAAAGGAATGAGATTCTGATACATGCTACAACGTGGATGAACTTTAAACACATGCCAGCCACAAAAGACTGCCCGGGGTGTGGCTGTATTTATATGGAATGCCCACAGTAGGCAAATCCATAAAGACAGAAAATAGACTAGTGGTTTTCAGGGACTGGGAGAGGGGAGATTGAGAAGTGACTTCTAAGAGAGTCTCTTCGTTACATTTGGATTGTAAACACCCTATGAGTATATGTATTGAAGGCTTGGTCCCCAGTAGTCTTTCGGTGTTGGGCTTTGGGGGAGGAAGTGAGATCCCTGGGAGCATGCCCCTGAAGGGTATATTAGGATCTGTGCCCCTTGTTCTCTTTTTCGATTCCTGACTCCATGATCTAATTGTGTTTGCTCATGCACCCCCAGAGGTGTTATTTGACATCATTTCTGGCCAAACAGTGAGCCAAGAGAAAACTGTCTTCTCAAGCATTTTGTCATAGTAGCAGAAAGCTGACTGGGACAGGTAGTAAGGAGTGGAGCCTGACAATGCAATTCAGAAGTCATTGGAATTTTTGTGAGAAGAGTTTGGGAAAGTCTGGAGGAGCAGATGAGGGAAAAGCATAGAATGCTGTGTAAATGGAGTGGACAGGGAGAGTCTGGTGGGAACTCAAAAGATCACCGAGCTAATAGGGGTGTAGACAGTAAAGGCTGTGCTCCTGAGGTTTCAGATGGAAATGAGGAGTCAATTGGAAACAAGACTAGAGGCCACACATGTTATGCTCTGACAAAGAACTTCTCTGTTTTTTGTCCATGTCCTCGGACTTTATGGAGAGACTAGTTTATCTGGTGGGGAAATTTTTAAGGCAGTAAAACGTTCAGGTAATGCCATGGTTTCAGCCATATTTATAGTGAGACTTGAGATCAGAAAACAAAAGAGAAGATTTGGAAAACATGCCATTTTTTTTTCCAGAAAAGGAGCACATGTAAGGCTATAACCAAGGGAGGTGCTGTTGCTGAAGAAATTAGTACTAGTTAAAAGAAGCCAGGGGGGCTGTGTAGACAGCTCGTAAAGTGTTCACTTTGCAAGCACAAGGACCAAAGTTCAATCCCCAGGGCTCATATAAAAAAGTCCTGGCATAGTGATACACACTTGAAATCCCAGCACTGAGGAGGCAGAGACCACTGGTTCCCTGGGACTTCCTGACCAAAGAGCCCTGAATACTTGGCAAGCTCCAGGCCAGTGAGAGACCCTGTCTCCAAAAAAAAAAAATTGTGGATAGTACCTGGGAAACTGTACCAGACATGGTCGTCTAGCCTCCACAACGACACACCTGAACACACACTCACCTCCCCACATACAAGCATGCACATATGTTTATATATGCACCTGGAGAGAGAGAGAGAGAGAGAGAGAGAGAGAGAGAGAGAGAGAGTTTGTTGGAAACATAGAGAGGAGGGTTGCTGAAAGTTGGAGGCCAGCCTGGTGTACATAGCAAGTTCCAGGCTAGCCAGGGCTACATAGTGTCTTATCAAAATAAGGAAAGAGGTGGAGCCAAGGACTTGATTACCATGTAAGAAGCTGTGGTTTCAATGTGGTTTCAATTTCCAGTAAAAGACACGAGAGAGAGAGAGAGAGAGAGAGAGAGAGAGAGAGAGAGAGAGAGAACCAAGTGCTTTGCCCTGAGAAAGCAGAAAATATGCCATCTCAGGAATTGGCCAGATCTCACCCACTGCACTCAAGAATTTTTGTGTGAGGAGAGAGCCTGGGTACCTTGCTCACACCTAGGGAATTGTTTCCCAGGACAGGGGTTCGCTTCCCTGCATTCGACACTGTAGTCACCTACAAGCTGCAATCATAGTCCAGAGTGCCTGGTATCCTCTTTGTGAGGCTGATATTGCATGAGTGCAGGGGTCAAGAGTTAAGGAATGTGGGGGTTCCCCCTGGGACCCAAGGAAAGCCTTGGAAGCTAAGCCAGTGTGTAGCAGAGTTGGAGTCCTTGCAAGCTGCCCATGAGAAAGCAAGCTGTGAAGCCAGGAGAGTAGAGACCCCAGGAAGATAGAGATGCCAGGAAATGCCATGTAAACACAGAAATGCCTCAAAGGGAACAAGAGATAGTTTATTCTGGAGCCATATATAAGTGACCATGGCCCAGGAACGTGGATTCAGGTCACCCTAAATACCATGTCCCAATATGGTAAAAGTTTTGTGAAGTTCTTATTGTAACAGAACACACGGGAGTCATAAATAAAAACACTTGTTACATTGTTAGGTACATTGGGTAGGCAGGTCACAGCAAAGTGGAAGCACATCTGTTAGAGGCCCCAGATGCTCTCTAATGACATTCTTAGCTTTGGGGTTAGTGGAAGTTCATGCTCAGTTCGGCAGCACATTTTCTTCCTCTCTACATCTGCAATTCTTGAGTACTAGAGTTTAGCTTTTCCATGTCCCCCAAGGGCTCATGTGTTAAAGGCTTGGTGGCTATGCTGTGGTAATTTTGGAGATGGTAGAGCCTTTGGGAGGTAGGGCCCAGTGGGAGGAAGTTGGGTCACTGGAGATTTTCCATTTCCCTCTGCTTGTCAACCACCAGGAGGTCAATAGACCTGCTCCATCATGCACTCCCCAGAATGCTCTGCTTTGTCTCAGGCCCCAAAGCAATGGAAACCGTGAGCCACAGGCTGATGCCTCTGAAACCAGGAGCCAAAACAAAGCTTTCCTCCTTATAAGTCACTTGGCTCAGGCATTTGTCTCAGTGATGGAAAGCTGACACACCTGAGTCAGGAAACTCCTGAGGAATGAAAAGTGAAAATCCAGGCTTAAAGCATCTGATCTAGGTCGCCCAAGGACTTCGAGATGCAAAATTCAGTAATGGGACAGTGGTCTTTGTGACTGTGATATAGTAGCAGGGTGCGTTCTGTTCATAGTTTTAATCCTCACTGGAGAATAACAGAACAAAGGAAGCCCACAGTTCATCTGGGTGTTCACTGTGAAGATGCCTGAAATGGACCTTATGCAAATTCTGGCTGAGGAGACCTGGGTTCCAGACACAGCTCTGCCAGGACAGCTGCCTGACCTTGGGTAAATCGTTGCCCTTGAACGTCTGTTGTTAGTCTTTGAGGTACTCCTGGCTTTGTTCTTCCTTCACCAGAACCCCAGAGTTTATTTGAAAATTCATTTTTTCTCAATTCTAACACAAGTTTTTCTTATAGTCAACTAACCCCAGACTCCAGGAATTGGATCTGCTTATCTTAAAGCCACCTTTACATTTTAAAGTATTTTTTAAAAAGGTTTTCAGTTTTTAATGGTTTCATTACAATATTTTCATATATATGTCACTGTACTTTGTTTATATTTGCCCCCCTAATCTTCTCTGGCCCCCCTCTCTCTCTCTTGCTTTGCATTCTCCCCCAAATAGTTCCTTTTCTGCTTTAATGCCTGCCTGATAGATGATAGATGCATAGATAATAAATAGATAATAGATTATTGATAGTTAATAAATAGATAGGTGACAGAAAAATAGACTGAAACATAGATGATAGATTAGATAAAGAATAAATAGGTAGTAGGTGATATTTTGATAGATTGTAGATGGATGATAAATAGGTAGATAAAACACAAACAGGGATGGATAGATGATAGATCAGCTAGATTATAGACAGATAATAGATGATGGATGATGGATAGCGGTAAAAATAGGTAGATAGATAAATGATAAAGATAATAAATAGTAGGTAGAGTGATAGAAAATAGATAATAAAGATGGCTACATAGATAGATGATAGACTAGATGGATGGGAAATGATATAGATCATGTGTATATAAAACATAGACAAAAATAGATATATAGATGATTGATTATACAAATGAGAGATAATATAGATGATA